GAAACATTTTACATAATGATCAAAGTTTAGTGGTAAGTTTGATGAAAGGTTCTTAACCTGGTTGCATGCCAGAACACACCAGCAAAGAGCAAAGAAGCCAAGTGCATAAAATTTTAATTCTTATTCTAATCACTAAAGCAATATTTGGGCAGGCTAACAATTTGACATAGTGATTGATAACAACAAAAAAAAATTTTTTAAATATGATACACCCCCAAATCAAATCAACATATTAGAAAATAAGAAACGGGCTCAAGACTTCAAATTCCATTATGATATTGTGAAAAATATATTGGATTTGCACCCAAAATTTAATGTATGTTTCAGTAATCTTTGGCTCTCATGCCAATATTTTATTGATGAAACTGACACTGATTTAATTAATCTCAAAGTTCTAAACTGAAGCCAATTTGCAGGTATTTCCAAAAACTTAGTGATAAGATTTAGTAAGTTAAATTTGGGCCTCCCTGGTGGCACAGAGGTTAAATCTCAGTGCACTGTCACTACGATGGCCTGGGTTAAATCCCTGCCGGGGAGCTAACCCACATATGGCACAACAGACCTCTTCTGTCTAGCCTGCGGCTCCCCTCAGCAGTGTGTTTCCGTAGATCCACCTGTTCTGCTCCGCACTGTTTCTGGTGAATCTTCTCAACCCCCACTGCACCCCACCTCTGGCCTACATCCCAGTCTTTCTATGAATAGAATAAATTAATAAATAAATAAATAAATATTTAGGGGAAAAAAGGCTAAACTTAATCTATAGTATAATTCATGGTTCTCGTCTCCTACTAGACTATCTTGTCAAAAATTTTAAAAGAACAGAAAAAGGGTCAAGATAATAGACATATTATCACCTCTTCTGCCATAATTCAAAAGATTAACTAGATGCCTAACAAAAATGTAAGATAGGGCCTCCCCAGTGGCGCAGCGGTTGAGCGCTGGGTTGCAAAGCTGCCCACAGCCTCTGCAGCGCCAGTTCGATCCCCGGCTGCTCCCCGGCCACTGGAGGAGGGTCCCGCATGGTGCACAGACCTCTCGGGCCGCCCGCTGCTCCCCTCAGCAGTGTACTTCGGTCCTTCTGCCTGCTCTGCTCCCCGCTCTGGCTCTGGTGAATTCTCTCACCCTCCCGCGCTTCTGACTGTACCCAGTGCTTGTATAAATAAATAAATAAATGTTTAAAAAAAAAAAAAAAAGTAAGACAATTACAAACAGATGGTCACTCCTATAATACTCTTTTAGGTGACAATACAAATAGATGGTCACTCCTATAATACTCTTTTAGGTGACAATACAAATAGATGGTCACTCCTTCATAATACTCTTTCAGGTACATATCATGAACATTGTTTTATGGTTAGACACTGATGAAACTAACTGGTTATGACTAAGTTTTCTTAGTTTCTACCATCCTAAACAAGAGTCAAAATAAAGTCACATTTATGTTACATCTTCCAGTGAAGTGATCATATTACCAGGATGATCTAGTGTGTAGGTAACCAGAGCATCTCAACACAGAAGCATAAAGTCTAGAAGGTTATGTTTAAGATCTAGTGATGATGGTGCTGTGTATGTGGGAGTAGCGGGTGCAAGAATATTCATGGCACAGTTCTGTCACAAATCTATATCCACATATTGAGATGGTAAATTACCAGGTGGTAACAGAGGCAGCAAGAATACAATGAGCTATTCTCCAAGAGCGCCTGACCCGAGCTCTCCTATTTTGAGTTAACATCTTGATTTCATAAAGGCAAGAGAACAAGATCTAAAGAATTACTGTCATGACAATATCTATTCAAGTGGCCCCTTCTGTTCTGGACCAACTATTGATATAATCACTCCATGTGTTACACCACACCTTGAGAGGGAAAAAGCAAAACAAAAAAAGTTTCCAAAACCACATGCAAACAAAAATTTAAAAACACAAAAATAATATTTTGTAAATAACTAAGACCTTATTACAGAAAAATACATGCACATGAGAAAAAAAGTGGAAAAAAAATTGATTCCCCCAATCGTTGCAAAAAGTAAAACATTTACTCTGGCAAAAAAATAAATCCACACAGTCCACTGAAAGGATTACACTTAGTTCATACTGTATTTTTCCCCTAAAACCATAATCTTTCAAGAATTTCATAGGTAATTTAGCAGAATATGGAAATGTGTTAATTTCTCAATTAGTCAGTTTTGTGTTCAAAATGAATTCAACCTTCATTAACAATACACCACAATATAAAGACTGAAAACAGCAAAGGTTTCCACCTGTAAGCTAGTGACTACACTGGGTAGCACTACTAACCCCATATAATAAGATAGGGCTTGGAGGAAAGATATTGAAAAAGAACTAGTTATTATGGTCATTTTTTAATTAAAATGATAATGACAGTATTCATTTGAACATTTGTGATTCAATCGTTTCTCAAGATTAATGTTCAAATTTCAATTCTCAAAAAAGTCATGAAAATATCTCTAAACCAGCTATGGCAAGGTTTTGAGAATGCACTGAGGATCTAACGATTAACAAAATAAAAATGCTTACAAGCAGTTGCACAACGTAAGAGTCTGTAGAATGGAGAGAGTGCTACTGAAATAAAATCTGATTTATCTAATTATGTCTGGATATTGTGCCATAAAAGTAATGAAAGCTCTTTCTGGAGTAATAGATTTTCTTGATTTGTGCAAAAACTGCTCTTCCATAAAACTAATTTTCTTTACAATTAAGTGGCTCTGAGAACTATCAAAGTGCAAAAATTAATGAAATAAATATTAGGCATGCTGGTATATTAACTGTACAACTCCATCTAAGTTTCTTTCATCAATTTTGCAGTAACACTGAGATGTAATATTAATAAAGAGGAGTTCAGTTCAGCAAACATTTATATGGCAAGACTTACTCAGAGCTAAGTATGAAGACAAGATCACTAGAGAATCTCAGTCTGGTGAGGGTAAACAGAAACAAAAACAATAATAATATTATGTAAACTTCTTCAATTAAGCATCTTATGTATTAGGTAAATACAATAGCTTCTGATAATAGCTAAGAGCAAAGTTAAGAATTCATCTCTCCTGGGCCTCCTTGGTGGACCAAGGGGTTAAGACACAGCACTGTGAAGCTACCTGCAGCCTCTGCAACAGGAGTTGGATCTGGCCAGCCAGGGAGCTATCCACATGGTGCAGCAGACCTCTCCTGTCTCATTCACTGCCCCCCTTAGCAGTGTATTTTCAGTCAGTCTGGCTGTTCTGTTCCCCACTCTGTCTCTGGTGAATCTTCTCACACACACACCCCCCCACACACCTCAGGCCTGTATGCTAGTTCTTGTATGCAAAAATAACTAAATCTTTAAAAAATTCATCTCTCCTTTGAAGAAATAATTACTAGTCCACTGAGCATCTGAAGATATGATATATAGTCTATACACATAAACTAATTTAAAAGCTGTCACAATCAGTAAATTATCACCTTGTGAAAATTAAACACTAGATATCAATTTAGAGTAAAAATACTTGATTCTAAGTATTTGTTTATATAGCCAAACAACTATCAAATAAATGAGTTGTAAAAACATGATACACAGCTGACTTCGAACATGAAATCTTGAGTCAACAATTACAAAAGGAAATTCAGTTCTAAAGTGAGTATAAATATTGCAATCCATATTTTCCTGGCACAATGATGGTTTTGATACTATGTCTTCTATACAAAGCATCTGTATACCCACCTGTTCCAGTTCTGTTAACTGCCAACTGTAAGCATCCTCTATTATTTTTCCAGATCACGTTACTAAAAATATCATTCCTACAATATCTGGAAAATTGGATTAATATTAGTCTGTCAAAAATAACCCTCCAATTTTCAGGAGGTAACTTCAATTCTAGGCCTGGAGGTGAGAAGGCGATCTGAAGACTTCTGGACTCTGGTGCTTTCAAATATAATTTTATATTAGTCCCTTTTAACCCAGACACCTGCACTGACCATATTTTCCACCTGTGGCAAATACATGCATCAAGTCAGGCAAAGTGGAATCAGTCAATACTAAGTATGTGTAAAACAAGAGCACAACGCTCGTTTTGTTAAAAATTTTAAATACAATGTATTAATCTTCTCTTAAAGACCTGCTTTGTCTTATGTTTAAAACAAACATCTTTAAACAAAGAAACAAAAGGGAGGGAGGGGGAAAGCAACAATCACCGTTAGAAAAAATCCAAGAGGTCTGTTTCAGATTCACTTGTTTTCCCCAACATCACTTCCTATTCACGCCTTCCTCCACCCTTTTGGGCAAATCAGTGTTTTTAACACCCCCCCTCCCACCCCAGATTTTTAAAAGGGTCCACCATTCACAGACGAGAAAGCCCCAGAAGCCAAATATATTACCCTAGAGACTGCCAACGCTTTGAAAGACACCTGAGAAGATGCCAAGTCCTAAATTAGGTCCCCAAGGGCGCCTTTTCTTTCGTGACCACATTTCTTTTTCTAGCTCTGGGGCCAGACTACCCACCAACAGCCCCCCCTCTCCTAGTCAAACCTAAACCCTTCCTCGGTCACCTCCACCTCCCTCGGGCCAGCGATCTGTTCAATCCCAACCCGGTGCCGCCGAGCGCCATGTGGTCGCTCCGGCGCCGGTCCAGCCCCCCCGAGCCCTCGCCCCACTCCTCCCCCGCAGCCTCTCCCGCTCCCGCCCACCCCCCCGCCCGCGCGACCCCTTCGTCCCCCTCACCACCCCGCGTTCAAAACCCTCCAAGCCCTCGCCTCTAGGAGGCCACACGCCCCGCCTCCCACCCCCTTCGCCCCTCAGCGCCCCCGGCAGTCGCCACCCCTCAGGCCCTCGGCTCACCCCTCCATTTCCCTCAGATTCCGTTCTCGAGCTGCGTCTCCAGGCTCCCTCAACCGTCTCCCGCACCCTCTCCGCATCCTCCACAGCCCCGGCGCCATCCCGGCTCCCCACTCGCCCTTGGCTGCAGGCGCCCCCCAAACTCCCCTCTCCGCAGCCTCAGCTCCCGCTCACCTCCGCGGTCCGAGTGGGGCTCCCCGGACCCCCCTCCGAGTCGGCGTCCGAGCCGTCGGAGTCGAGGGTCCTGCGGGCCTCCCCCGAGTGAAGCGCCTCGAGGGGCGGGGGCGGCTCCCGGCGCGGGGAGCCGGAATGGAGACGGGGGCGGTGGCGGCTTCGCGCAGGCATCGCGCCGGACCCGCGTCTCCGCCGCGCCGGCCGCAGCTCCAAGCCGAACCGGAACTGCTTCGGGGGGCGGGGCTCTGGCGGAGGGGCGGGGCCACCGGCGGGAGGCGGGGCCCACGCCGGAACAGACGTGCGGCTGGAGACAGGCACGCGGCGACAACCGGGATGGGAACGCGCTCTCGGGAAGCCTGAGGCGCATGCGTCAAGCCAAAAGCCAAAGTTGGAGAAGGGAAGGTGTTTAGGAACAGGGAGTGGGCCTGTGGGGTTAGTGAAAATGGAATTTAGGAGCTAGAAGAGATTAGCCAAATTCCTTCGGTGGAAGCACCCACCTTCTTCCCACGAGTCAGCCACCAATGATCACTGTTAACCTTTACTGCCCTTAGTCTTTCACAACCTAAGCCAAAAGCCATATAAATGTCTGCTTTAATCCATGTTCTAACATCACAGGGTATTACTGTTGTAGAGCAACCCCGATACAAAACGGGGTGCCTGACTGTGGGTCCTCACCCGCGCACTTAAAAGGACTCATCAATGCTCTACTGCAGGCACACGCGAAAGGTTCATAAAAGGTTTATTTACAAGGGAAGGGGAAATGAGGAAATGTACAGCTCTGGGAGAAAAGTGGGAGACAAAGTTTTAAATGAGTCCTACCCAATCCTCCGATCAGGAATCCCAAAATGGCGCTTTCAGAGTTGGCCGCCAGCCAGGAGCGGTGAAGCCAGAAGGTGAGCGATCGCCTAGCCAGAAAGCCCCCAAGGCCCACGTGTTTGGTTTTTATATCCAACCTGGCTGTCCAACTCCACCCTCAGGTCCCAGCCACCCTCCCTTGGTGGTGATGGGATTTGTCTTTCCCAATGTCTTGATGGCTTTAGTCTGGAGTGGGGGTGGAGTCCACAAAGCCTGTATGGGATTAACTCAGGACATTATTTCCCCCTAACATTACGACACAGAAAAGCAAGAAACTTGCCTGAGGTGTGGCGGTTAATATTCCTAATAAGTAGGAATAAGCCAGTGTTCCTACTTAAGTCTAACAACCCGTGCTCTTCTCACCTCACTCTATATTCCACTCTGAGGGAAGACCCCAGCCCAGGTCTGGCATTGGTATAAACCAAGTCCAAAACCACCCCTGGCCTGGGTTCCAGCACCCCTTTGGCCTTGCTTCTCCATGCAGTGCAGACTTCAGTGGCTCTGATGGAGCTGGGAACAGATTATGGGTCCTGTGTGGGTGCAGATTGCTTCCAGAGGATGCCCTGTTGTACCCTCAAACTGGACTCAAGGCTAGGGAGAGCTGGGAGCAGTGGCTGGTACCCCTCCTGGCTTCATCATGGCCTTGGTGAAGTCACCTCAGAGTGGGCAGAATGTCTCACCTCTTCTGCTGATAACCAGCTCTGGAAGGACAGACACAGACCTTTCTCAGTTTCTATTTTGGGGACAAAATCCTTATAGGAGAGGAATCTTCCTCCAACCCCAGAATGTTTCTGATGACACATCCTTTGGCTCCCTTGAATCTTCAAAAAGTCGAAGGCAACATTCCCTTCCCTTCTTCCCGCCTTTGAACATACATAACCCATTTCAGCCTTCTCTTTTGAAAAATCAGCTATCTCCATTACCAAATCATTCTTCAAGCCTTCCTCCACAAATGCTGTGAGCACCCTATAGATAAGGTCCTCAGTGTCTCCTCTCCACATTTCTCTGACTCAACAACTCAGAAAACCTGCCCTGAGACCCATGATCATATATAGACACATCCAACAGTCATAAAGTTCCCACCCAGTTTGTGGCCACCGAGACCTACAAAGCCCTTTTAAAAACCATTCATGCTTGAAGTCAGCCACCTCCTCTCCAGCCTGCATCTCTACTTTTAACTCAGTACCCAGAACCAGTCTTATTCAGGGCTCTAAACCCATTAAATTCAACAAATGTTTCTTAAGCACCTACTATTTGTTAGATGCAAAAGTCCTTTGTTTCATTTAATCCTCACATTTCTTTGAGGTAGGTGTAATTGTCCTTACTTTACAGTTGAAGAAATTGAAGCTGAGAGACAAGTGACTTGCAAACAACTTCAGGTTGTCCCCGAGTTTAGGGGGCTGATGGAAAGGAAAAAGTCTAGTGCTCTCTGGAGGCGCCTGTGACTTGCTGAGTCACTTGCTGCTATCTCACCTGTCCCTGCCAATCTCCGGGAAGGAGAAATGACACTGGAGAGGACGGGAGGAGTGACCACAGAGAGGAGTGGGAGGGTTGATCCATGGCTGAGGCCTCGGTACCAGAGCTGAGAGGCGATGCCGATGCCATGCCTTGCCCCAGCATCCTGGAGCTGGAGGTGCTCCTGAGGGCAGGGAAGATTTCCAGCAGCCACGTGGATGAAGTTTGGCCCAACCTTTACATAGGAGATGCGTGAGTGATAGCTGGTGAAGCAGATGTGGGGGTGGGGACTAGAAGAGACCGTCCTTGGGCCCTGAAGGAGGATACGAAAGTTCCCGTGGTGCAGTAAGGCACTCAAAAGAGGGGTACATCAGGGAGAGAACCCGGCCTTAGCGGTAGAAAGTCTGGGTGGGCTGCTGGTCAAACATGAGCAAAAGTAAGGAAAAAAGAGCTTTCCCAGCAGAGGGATTGTTTACAGTGGCAAAAGAATCAGATATGGGTTGCAGTAAAGCCAGAGAAGGAAGACAACCCACAACACAGAGGAAAAAAATTGCAAAAGCCAGACTACATGTCTCGGACTACAGTTCTAAAACTGGAAAGCCCCGGGTGGGGCATGTAGAATGCGTAGGATGAGTTCCTGCATTGTTGTTCCCTTTGTCTTCCAGCTGGCAGGACTAGAACTAACCTGGGATGCATACCAATTTATCCTGTCACAGGAGTCTTCTATAAAGTGGCAGCTGCCCTAATGACATTTATTTGGCTGACCCGTGCCCCCTATTTTGAGTGTCAAGGGAGACCTGGTTTAAAAACAGAAGAGCTCAGGAGCCAACACTCTTGCCAAGAGAAAGAGGGAATGGCAGCTCTTACCGAAATAAAATAGATAAGAGAGGGAGAGAGACCAAGGATGAGGGGAGCAGGGTATTCATCCTTTCAAGCCCATGGCAACCAGAAGGCCATGCCCCCATGCTTCAGGACCCGCCACAGAGTAGCCTTGGCTGGACCCCTCGGTTCGCAGAGGACAACCAACTAGTCACTGAACACTAACCCCTCTCTAGAGAGAAAAAGAGAGACCAAGAGAGAGGGGAGCAGGAGAAATCTTACCAGTGCCATGAAGGCCCACAATGGGCACCATCATGATGTAGGTTTGGAGAGGTGTTGGGTTCAAAGAGCAGGGTGCTTGGGTTACCTCTGAGGAAAGTTTCGTCAGAGCTCCCCTTTCAGCGGCACACGGCTAATTTCCCCATGAGGCAGACATTTTTTTTTTTTAAAGATTCATTTTATTTATTTATACAAGCACTGGGTACAGTCAGAAGCGCGGGAGGGTGAGAGAATTCACCAGAGCCAGAGCGGGGAACAGAATAGGCAGATGGACTGAAAAACACTGCTGAGGGGAGCAGCGGGAGTGGCAGGAGAGGTCTGCGCGCCATGTGGGACCCTCGCCGATGGCTGGGGATCGAACCAGCACTGCAGAGGCTGCGGACAGCTTCACAGCCCAGCGCTCAACCACTGCGCCACCAGGGGAGGCCCCAGACATTTAGTTATATCCAAAAGGCCAGGTTTATTATAAAAAGGGAAAGAAAGCAAAGACACAAGTGGGCAGCAAGAGCTGCCCCTGAAAAGGATAGGCTTGATAAAAGGACGCCTGTATAAACACAGGTCTTGGGAGGAGAGCCGTCTCTACTGCTTTGCAAAAGAAGATCAGTGAAGAGAGACACTTACATAGTCGTAGGTGGGTAGCTGTGTCTTGCCAGGTGAGAAATTGCACTGATACGTGTTCTCTTTAAGAGGTGTTTATTCCTTTGTGAAATTGTTACTTGTTAAATTATTTCTCCAGTGTAACTAGGTAGACTTGAAAGGATGGATGATTCTCTACAATGACCCTCAATCTCCGTATCCTCAGCCTCCATTCTGTGGGATACTTTCCTATAGCATTTCTACCCCCTACCTCCAATTTCTAGTCTTGTGAGGCCTCCTTCCCAAATTTTTTTCACTTAGCATCCATCATACACCTCTCCAAGCCGACATCAGGCTCTTCACCAGAGATGTAAGTGGAGTGGGAACAAGGAGAAGTAGTTGTGCTCCGAGTATGCCAGGCACAGGTTTTCCCCAGGACCCTTGTGAGCTGGAAACATGCAGTGACTCTGTGTGGCCACTAGAGGGAGCAGGGACCTTGCCTGAATGGTGGCCTGGAGCTCTCACAAGTTCACTCCTGGATTCTTCTAGGACACTCAGGACAGATACAGGGGACAGAAGCCTGGGGAATGGTGATTTGGGGTATGAGATGGGGTGGACAAGGAGGTCCCCCTCCTGTTTCTCAGTCTCCCTACTCTGGACTCAGAGTGGATGAGGAAGACTGACTGAAGGTGAATCAGGGAAGGTGTCACCTCTGAACATGTGCAGATTAGAAGTAGGTATGAGGTAGTGGCCAGGAGAGACGGGATATGTGTGGGAGGGCATGGGGCAAGAAGGGAGATGTAGGTGGATCTCAGGACTGAAGCAATTCTTTCCTTCCAGTCTTGGCCAAAGCTGGGACATATCATATCAGGAAGCAAAGAGGATCTAAAGATAACTCTATACCACCAACTCTCCCACCAGAAAGCTCTAAGGGTAGAACAGTGAGCTGTGGACCCCAATTCAAGCTTGCTGGGTTCTTTCTGGATCCCTATGGACCCTAATGGCTCTGTTCCTCTGAAGCAGAGGGCCAGGCAAAGCCTCCTTCCTGCACTCCACGGCTCAGCCAGCCTCAGCCCCTTTCCCCCCCTCCCCAGGGTCACTGCGAATAACCGCTTTGAACTATGGAAGCTGGGCATCACCCACGTGCTGAATGCTGCCCACGGGGGTCTCTACTGTCAGGGAAGCCCTGATTTCTACGGCAGCAGTATAAGCTACCTGGGGGTGCCAGCCCACGACCTCCCAGATTTTGACATCAGTGCCTACTTCTCCTCCGCAGCTGACTTCATCCACCGTGCCCTCAACACACCTGCGGGTAGGACTTGGGGTCTGAACGCATATCCTTGTTCAGTTATGGGGGGATGTCTAGCTTCCCTCAACATCGGTGCCCTTCCATCACTAGTTTTTAAAAAGACAGCAGGTTTTTTAAGTCTCAGCTTAGTGCTCCAGCAATTTACCCAACTACATTGTTTCACATACAGGGAAACAGACCAAGAATACAAAGTCATGCCACAAGTTAAGAGCAGTTCAGGTTGGAAGACAGGTCACCGAAGTAGTAAAACATTTCTTTCTCTCAATTACTCAGCCTTGGGAAGTCACTATTTGGTACCCAGATGTCTGGTTTCTGCCCCAGAGTACTTTCAAATGGAAAAAAAAATCTAATATCCAAGTTACAACAAAGGAGCCTGGGGAAGCTGGAGCTGCTCTGTTCATCCTGGGTGATAGTTGCACCCCTGGCTCCCTGACCCTGGAAAAGTCAGTGTCCTTCTTTGGATATCAGTTTCTCTTCTATATGATGGGAAAGACAAGACTACACTTAGCACTTTTTAACACCTGACATTCATTTGCTCTCCATTCATTCATTCACTGTGCCAGGTATTGTGCTTGTTACTAGGAATGTGCATTTAAATAAGGCAGGGTCGCTACCCTCATGGAACTTGCAATTCAGTGCCTGGTAGAAAAACAGTCAAATTGGGAAGTTATATGAGTGCTATTCATATGAATGGGCATACTGACTCCATATTTACTGGGTCACATGCAGAAAGCATGAGCTGTTCTGTGATTCAAACGATACCATGAATGATCAGGAAATCCTGTGCAAAGAAGCCATGTCTCAGCTGAGATCTGACAATGAAAAGCAGATATTAGTCACATTAAAAGCAGGGGAAAAGTTGTACAGGTAGTCAGAATAGCATACGCTTAGGCTGGTGGCCAGAAACCATGGCAGTTTCAAGGACCTGACACTGTCCCTAGAGCTGAGAGTAGGGTGGGATAAGGCTGTAGGGTTAGCAGGGGCCAACTTATAGAGGGTCTCCTACACCATATTAAGGAGTTTGGACCCCATCCCAGGGTAGGCAAAACAAGTGTGGGTCTGCCCATCTAACATATCAGGAAATTGATGCCTATAAAGGCTGTATGATTTGTCTAGGGTTACAGAGTAGGCCCAAGACAGGTCAGGGAGAGGAACTCAGGTCTCACTCCAAGCTCTGGGTGGGCCAGCTAGTGGGAAAGGGTCTTTTACCAGGATGTCTTCCTCAGCCAAGGTCCTGGTGCACTGTGTGGTAGGTGTGAGCCGCTCCGCCACACTGGTCCTGGCCTACCTCATGCTGCACCAGCAGCTGTCCCTACGCCAGGCGGTGATCACTGTGAGGCAGCAGCGATGGGTCTTTCCCAACCGAGGATTCCTCCGCCAGCTCTGCCAGCTGGACCAGCGTCTGCGGGGTGCAGGCCGGAACTGAGGGGCCAGGTGAGGGCTGGGCAGGGCATGAAGAGGTGAGCCTGGGTGCAGTCAGAAGTAAGAGGTCAGGTGAGGGTCTGGGCAGAGGGCAAGGGTACAATTGAAAGGAAGGGTTTGGGGGAGGGCTGGCAGGGGACATGGGGTGGGACCAGTTCAGAAACTCGTCAGGGCTGTGTGTGGCCAGAGGTGAGTGACAAAGGGGGCCCACTCCCCAAGCTACTCAGCTCCCCTTTCTAACCCAAGATCCCACTAGGGCCTGGTGGAGGCAATCATCCAATAGGACCTCAGCCTCCCCCAGCCCATCCAGATGCTTCAGAACCCAGAGAGAATAGAAAGGCTAGGAAGGAAAGCAGGGAGGCATGAAATGGAAGAGGTGAGATGCTGCCCAGACTGCCTTCTTGAACAAACACCATCGGGGCTCACCTGAACCCCGCCAAGGCAGTAATATAGCCAGTCCTGGCACCTGAGGGTGTTCCCAAACCTCTGCATACCCTTCCCTCAGGTCTGGACTCCATGCAGAGCTCCACGGAAAACCCAGCTGCAGCTATCACCCAGGCTTAGTCAATTCCATGTCACCCCTGCCTCGCCATTCCCACAATAGGGAAAGAAAGCAGGGGCTTCTGATACCAGCCAAGACCTCCTCTTGCGTGATATAAAATCCTCCTGTCATCCTGCCATTCAGTTTTCCACCTTGGATCCAGCACCCTATACCCGTACTGCCCTCCCTCCCCACCCAATCATTCTTTTTTTTTTTTTTTAAGATTTATTTATTTATTTATATAAGCACTGGGTACAGTCAGAAGCGCGGGAGGGTGAGAGAATTCACCAGAGCCAGAGCGGGGAGCAGAGCAGGCAGAAGGACAGAAGTACACTGCTGAGGGGAGCAGCGGGCGGCAGGAGAGGTCTGCGCGCCATGTGGGACCCTCGCCAGCGGCCAGGGATTGAACTGCGCTGCAGAGGCTGCGGGAAGCTTCGCAGCCCAGGGCTCAACCGCTGCGCCACCAGGGGAGGCCCCCAATCACTCTCCTGACCTCAGAAATCTACAGAAGGAGCCTCTCTAGCCTCTATCCCAGCCCAATTCTAGAGACCCCTTTAGGACTAAAAGGTCTTCCTGAAGTCTGTCAGACTCCTTCTTGCCTTCATTTACCCCTGCTTTCCTTTTCCAGGGCCTAGTGCATCTGACAGTACAGCAGATAGTCTTTGAGTTGCCCACAGGGAATGGACACCTCTTCCCAGGCCACCTCCCTCCTGCTGGAGGCCCTAGTGTGTCGAGCTGCCTAATAGGAGGAACTGGGCTCCTCCCGCAGCAGCACAGCTCCTTAAGTTCCCAGCCCACAAATGCTAGCCAGGGTGCAGCTGTAGTTTCTCTAACATCAGCCCTGTGTTTTCCTCCAACTCTGTTGGGAGGAGGGGGGTATCTTCCTGGAGTGGAGTGTCTGTGGAGACACCAGTTCTCTGAGGGAGGGCAGAATGCTCACTGCCTTTCTCGCACCATGCCCAGATAATATTTGCCCTGTCTGTCTCCAACAGCCCACTTTCCTCATAGTCACATCCCACCTGGGGTGTCAGACCCCCAGAATGCTCTCTGCTCCCCTTATCCTGCCACCAGCTTCTGCTACCCATACTTCTCTTTCCCTCCTTCTCCTCAATCCTGACTATAGCTCTGGCCCACCACCCTCTGGCTCAGCAGGGCTGCCAGCTGAGTTGGGGGTGCCTTGCCGAGGCTCTTCTAAGAGTTGGGAGAATAGCAGGAAGTCTCTTCCAAGGACTTCCCAGGCATGGCCCAAACCTCCCTCCACTCATAAGAGCTATTTTGTATAAATAGCCCAACTAAAGGGACGCACTTTAGCAATACTGACCCCTTCTGCTGTTGGGAGGACTAACATCTTGGGAAAGGGATAAGGGTAAGGTGGAGAGCTAGGTTTAGAGTTTGGGGATGAATGTAATGGCAGAAAATTAGGGTGATGGCTAGCATTGGGAACTGGGCTGGGGTTAAGTTGGGTGGAAAGCTTCTGTGGGGCGCTCTGAGGGTTGGGGTACCTAAGAAGAGGACAAGAATGGTGTTATTTCCATCTTACTCTTTGATTCAGGAACCTCACAGAGTAGTAGATTTCCGATCATGCTCTGTCACCTCACTTCTATAGGCTTGGGGCCCTAAACACTCTGACCTCCAACCTCAGAATCCTTACCATTAGGCAACTGACTTTGGGGGAGTCAGTTGGGCTACAGAACTTCACAATCCTGGGGGTGCCATTCACCAAATAGCCTGTGCAACTGTACACAGTAGCCCTGAGGCTGGAGACTCTGAAAATGAGGGGGTTATAGGGGTAGGTTATCTCTTTTCATTAGTCTTAGGCTCCAAACCTGCCTCTTCATCCTTCCCAACACCTGTACACACCTGACCGCACAGAAAACTCAAAGCAGAAGCAGGTTTAGGTGACAGTTCTTAGCCCTGCCAATCTGGGGCTTAGTTTACCTGCTCGTAGCACAGACCTTATCTCGCCCTCAGAACTGGTCCATACTCCCTGCCACTGGGCTCTGCTACTATATTTCCCTGGTGCTGGCCCTACTGCTACTGCTGCTGCTGCTGCTAGAGGCTTTGACCCCAGTAGATGCTCAGGAGATAGTACAGTACAGTGTGGGGTTATCCCTAGAGCCTATAATTTTCCATCTGTTTCCATCTGCTCCCACATCCCCTTTCAGCTTAAGTCTTAAGTTCCACAGATAAGAGTGGGCTGCCCTCTTAACCAACTCCTCAGGCTCCTGGGCCAGGGCCATAAATTCCTGGAGTGGGGGATGGGGTGGGAGTGGCACATGTGAGAAGAGTGGGGAGACATTCTAAGTATTCATGATGGTGCTTGGCCACAACTACCTCCACCAGTTTTCCCTGGGGCCCAGGGAGCCTGAGCAGAAGCTATGCCCAAGAGCTCAGACTTTAGACTCAGACTTCAGTGGGGGGTAAGGTTGTGGGTGTGTCTCTGCATGTGTCTAAGGTACTGGGAGTGTGAGTGAAGAAGAACATATAAGAATGGGTGTATGCAAAGAGTTCCTGGATAGCAGGGAAGATTTTTAATAGATACAGACCCAAGGTCCCTAACTAACCACAGTTAGCCTTGGGAGAGAACTCAAAGACCACTTCCTGGTCTCAAGGAATAGTGGATGAATCAGGAATGCCTTCTGGGGGACATAACAGCGTGGCAGAAGGTAGACTGGCTCCTGGATACATGGCTTCTGATTGTGGGCAGGAATGGTCTTTATAAAGACTTGCTCTGAACCCCACTTATACCTCTGTTAGCCTGCCCACACAACCCTCAGCTTGTATCTTCTGGTTCTTAATTCTGGGCCAGTCTTGTAGTCCTCAGCTCCCCACAGAAGGCCCATGGACCTGAGTTCTGATGTTGGCAATGCTTCCATTTCTGTCTGCTTTAAGATACTCTCCTCCCTAGGTTCACTTGCCTAGGTGACACCACTGGGTTAGTATGGCTTCCTTCTGGGAACCCTGCTGGGCTGGGTGAGGGCTCACTTGCCTAGGTGAATTCCCCCTGAGCTAGTGTGTGTTCCTCACGGGAACCCCCGATAGGCTGGGTGTGGGTTCACGTGCCTAGGTGAATACCACTGGGTTCATATGGGTTCACACAGCTATATGAACCCCACTGGGCTAAGTATGTTCATATGCCTAGATGCACCCCACTGGTGTACTATGGGTTCCTCATAGGCATCCCCACTGGGCTAAGTGTGGATTCACTTGCTTAGGTGAAACCCACTCAACTAGTGTGGGTTCCCTTACCTAGGGGAACCCCACTTGGGCCAGGGGGATTCATAATATGAACTCCCCCACTGGACTAATGGATGGTGCTTCCCAGTGATGGGTGAGGTGTGAATGAGGAGTTATTGTTTAATGGTGGTAGTTTTAGTTGGGGAAATGAAAACATTGTTTAAAAGGAGGTGATGATGTTCACACAACAGTGTGAATGTATTTGATCGCACAGAACCGTGCACTTAAAAATGGTCAAAGTGTTAAATTTTATATTCTGCATACCTTATTACACTTGAAAAATTGGGATTAATCTCCCTAACATCCTGGGATATAGAGGTTATTACCTTCCCCCCTTCTTAAAAAAAAAAAAATGATGAAGCTAGGGCCTCCCTGGTGGTGCAGGGGTTAAAGTCTCAGCACTATCAATCTATTGCTAGCCACTGCAGCTTGATTTCAAACCCTGGCCAGGGAGCTGATCCACATGGTGCAGCAGACCTCTCCTGTCTTGCTCACTGCTCCCCTCAGCAGTGTATTTCATTCAATCGGCTTGTTCTGCTCTCCACTCTTACTCTGGTGAATCCTCTTACCGGTGCCCCCTGCCTCATACACACACCTCCGGCCTACACCCCAGTTCTTGTATGCATATATAAATAAAAATAAATCTTTAAAAAAATTGATGAAGCTAAGGCTCAGAGAGGTGAACTACATTCCCAGGATCACACAGACTTTAAGTAGTAGAGGCTGACCTGGATGGCAGGCTTCCCTCTCAAAGGCTACATCATCTAGATGCAGGAGTCAGAAAGAAAATTCAGTCATTTTCAAGGTAGCAAGAGTTATCAAGTACAAAGAGCCAGACACCAGGAGAAATGGACAGTAGCTGGCCCTGAAGGTTAAGAGTTAATTTCTAAATCTTTTCTCTTATGTTCTTGCAGGTTCTAATTTTGGCCAAACAAGCTCTTCCAGCCTAATCAGTGATGTGGTGCATTGTTTTGAAGATAAAACATTTTTCCTGGTATGAAAGTAAAAAAAGAATGCAGAGTTTGCTTGGAGAAGCAGTCCTGATGCCTGTTAGCAACCATCTGAAAATGATCTTGGACTCATTGATGGTGGCATGCATGGTTGTTGACCGATTTTTTTTTTGTGACAATGATTAAAACCATTTCCTGAACTCGTCTGAATTTCTCCCTCTGAATGAACCAGAAACAGAGCCTCAGGAAATAGGTAGCCCCCCCTCCCACCAAAAA